TGCCAGGTCCCCCCTCGGTAGACCCCCTCCCCCCTTAGGGTCCTGCCCCTTCAGGTGTGTCCCAGGTAGACGCTGTTGAGCCTGTCGAGGTCGCTGGTGACTCTGGTGCTACTGAGGGTGCCGAGCCTGGGGGTGCTGACTCTGGGGGTGCTGAGCGTGTTTGGTGCTACGCCTGGGGGTGCTGAGCCTGAGGGTACGACGACTGGGGGTGCTGAGCCTGGGGGTGCTGAGTCTGGGGGTGCTGAGCCTAGGGGTGCTACGCCTAGGGGTGCTGAGCTCGGGGGTGCTGAGCCTGGGGGTGCTACGCCTGGAGGTGCTGAGCCTGGGGGTGCGGAGCCTGAGGGAGCTGGGCCTGCTGGTGCTGTGCCTGGCTGTTCTCCGGGTGCTTCTTCTCGCCGGGAGCCACTCTCTCCACAGGAGCTGTGTGAGTGGTTTGCCCGGCGCTGGAGGCGAGCTGCTGGAGCTGGAGGTGCTGCGGGTACTGGAGGTTCTGTTGCTGCTGAGGGAGCTGGTGCCACGGGTCCCAGAGGTGCTCGTACTGGGTGTACTAGAGCTGCTGGACCTGCGGGTACTTCTGGAGCTGGAGCTGGAGCTGCTGCTGGTGCTGGTGCTGCCACTGGGGGTGATGGTGCTGTCCCTGCTGTGTCTGGAGTCGGCGTGCGGCCTCGGGCGTACTTCGTTCCGCTCCTTCAGCACGTTCTTGGTCTCCCGTCTTCTACTCGTCCTCCTCCTCCCTTAGAGTGTCCACAGCCTGTCCCGTCGCAGTTACAGTTACAGCCGGCCTCCCCACTGCCTGCTCCGTCTCCCTACACTGGTCCTCCTGGAGGTCATGCTGAGCGACGTGAGCCTGCGTCTCGCCCTGCGTCGCCTGTCCGTGCTGCTCGCACTAGTGGTCGCGGTTCGCGTGAGCGTCCTCCTCCTGTCCCTGGCACGCACCGGATGTCTCTGCGTTCGTCTACTGCTCCTCTGCGTGCCCCTTTGCCTTCTCCTCCTGAGTCTTCTCTTCCTGCTCTTGCCGACCCGGAGTCGGACTCTCTTCGTGCTGCCAGTCCTACTGTCACGCGTCTCCTTGCTACTGTCGTCAATGACCCTTCCTTTGAGTCCACTGCTGCGTCTGCCCTAATTGCTGAGCTCATCGACTTTGTTGCTCGCTGTCGCCTAGACTACGCTGCTAGTCTTGTCGCTGAGTCTGAGTCTGTCTGTCCTCCGTCCGTCGGGGGTGAGTGTGCCCTTAGCACGGACGTCCTTGAGGACAGGCAGGAGGAGTTCTAGTATTTGGCTACTGCTTCACCTCATCTCGTGTCCGTACTGCTTACCCCTGAGGGAGACCCGGATGCACTTGACATCCCGACTCCGCACTCTTACGCGGAGGCGATAGAGGGTCCCTACTCCTCTCAGTGGCAGGCAGCTATGGACACAGAGATGGCTTCCTGGAAGTCCACAGGCACCTACGTTGACGAGGTTCCCCCGCCTGGGGCGAACATCGTCAGTGGCATGTGGATTTTCAGGGTGAAGCGGCCGCCGGGCTCTCCGCCTGTCTTCAAGGCGCGTTACGTGGCTCGTGGCTTCAGTCAGCGGCAGGGAGTTGACTACTTTCAGACCTTCTCTCCCACCCCGAAGATGACCACTCTTCCGGTACTGCTGCACATAGCTGCTCACCGTGACTACGAGCTTCACTCTCTTGACTTCAGCACTGCTTTCCTGCAGGGCAGCCTGCACGAGGAGATCTGGCTGCGCCGCCCACCTGGCTTCACTGGGTCTTTTCCTCCTGGCACCCAGTGGAGCCTCCGGCGGCCAGTCTACGGTCTCCGCCAGGCACCGCGTGAGTGGCACGACACACTGAGGACTACACTTGCAGCTCTTGGGTTTGCTCCCTCTACTGCCGACCCGTCGCTGTTTCTGCGCACCGACACTTCTTCGCCGCCATTCTACATCCTCGTGTACGTCGACGACTTGGTCTTTGCCACAGCTGACACTGCTGGACTCGCCCACCTGAAGTCCGAGCTGCACAAGAGCCACACGTGCACAGACCTGGGTGAACTGCGCAGCTACCTTGGCTTGCAGATCACCCGATACAGAGCACGCCGCACCATTACCCTGACTCAGTCACACATGGTGCAGCAGGTCCTTCAGCGCTTCGGCTTCATGTACTCCTGGCCTCAGGCCACTCCTCTGCCTACTCGCCACTCGCTCTCTGCTCTGCCTTCGGATGAGTCCGTAGAGTCGAGTGGCCCGTACCCAGAGCTTGTTGGCTGCGTCATGTACCTGATGACCTGCACTTGACCTGACCTTGCATACCCTCTTAGCATTCTCGCACGCTATGATGCTCCTGGGAGACACAGACCGGAGCACATGGCTGCAGCGAAGAGGGTGTTGCGCTACTTGTGCAGTACGTCAGGCATGGGGCTTGTGCTTGGAGGGCAGAGTCCAGTGGTCCTCACTGGGCACGCAGACGCTTCTTGGGCTGAGGACCAGGCTACGCAGCGGTCGTCACACGGTTACACCTTCAGCCTTGGTTCCGGCTCTGTTTCGTGGCGGGCTACCCGCTCGTCTTCTGTTCTCGGCTCCATTTGTGAGGCTGAGATCTACGCCGGGGCCATGGCTACACAGGAGCTTCGCTGGCTCACCTACCTGCTGACTGACCTCGGAGAGCCGCCTCGTTCTCCTCCAGTGCTGTACGTAGACAACAAGGCCATGCTGGCCTTGTATCGAGAGCACAGAATGGAGCACAGAACGAAGCACATAGCTCTCCGCTACTTCCTTGCTTCTGAGCTACAGCAGCGTGGTTAGCTGCGTCTTGCGTACGTGGCCTCTGAGGCCAACACTGCTGATATCTTCACCAAGGCGCTTGCGCCTTGTGATCATCAGCGCTTCTGTACTCAGCTGGGTTTTGTGCCTACCTTGCCTCACTTGCTCACCTCTTGACCTTGCTTGTACTGTTACATATATATATACACATGCTCTTGCTTGTCTAGCCTTTTATATATATATGTACTCCTGCATGTGAACTGGCCTTGTGGCCTTGACCTTGTGCTCGGAATGTGTGGTGACTTTGTGATCCACCCTGAGCTTGCTTTGTTTTGCTTTGCTTGACTGGTCTTGTGACCCTTTGTACTCCCCCACTTTGCCTATGGGGGTGTGTCAGAACATTATAGCTTATGCTTTTGTGTAGGCTGTAGTGGGGTAGCCTATATGGGGTACAACCCAATTAGGGTTAGTACTTGTACCCAACTCTTTCATAGTGCATTCATTCTCGTTTCTTCTCATTTCGGGGCTAGATTCCTTGTAGGGTAATGTGCGGGGGAAAACAAATACATCGAAAATCCCCTGGCGTGGCCACTCGAGTAATTATCACTGAATTTGATGGCTACGCAAACAATTCAGGAACACGTAGGCTAGAGCGAATCACCAAACAAGGCCCTGGAGCAACTCTATCCGGAAAGTTGCTGCAGGAGATTCGTCGTCTTGAAATCTGGGACGGCGTGGCCTTGTTCGTCCAGCTAATGGGAGAATTGCTCCAAACCCTTGTTTGGAGATTCAGCGTTGCCCACGTGGCTACCATTTGCTCGCGTGGTTCTCAAATTCAGTGATAATTATTCGAGTGGCCTTGCCAGGGGATTCCCACTGGCTTTTTTTAACCGGGCACATTACCCTACACGAGTTTCTATTCCCGAAACTTCTGTACTGGTTATTGCGCGATCTTCATTATTCAAAATTTATGTTCGTGACCCTATATGACCGCGCCTGATTGGACATACATTTTAAAAAAAGGAACCGCACATATAATTGACCAATCATGCGCGGTCATTAAGGGCATTGCAGTTTAAAACCGCAGAAATATATGATTGGGCATTAAAATATCATGTGTGCGACCATTAATGACCAATCAGGATTGGTAGATTATATGAGCGTCCAATCAGGCGTGGTCATATAGGATCATGAACATAAATTTCGGATATATATGATCGCACAATAACCAATACAGAAGTTTCGAGGATAGATACCCCTGAAGGGTAATGTGCATTCTAAAAAAAGACGTTGAGAATCCCCTGGCGAGGCCACTCGAGCAATTATCACTGAATTTGAGTACCACTCGAGAAAATGGTGGCCACGTGTGCATCATCGAATCCCCAAACAAGGGTTTGGAGCAAATCTCTCCCAGCTAATTGACAAAGTTCCCTCACTTTGGGGAGATGGTCCTCGAGAACCAATGACCAACCAATTGCTTGAGAGTCAAGCTGACACATTGATGTGGCGTCGCATGACATCCCCAGAAACACAGACATCCCTCTCTACCCTGGGAAAAATACGCGTACCCAGCTGGACTGTTCGCAAATATTCCATTGGCGAGACTAACGACAGCTGAACGACAAAGCAGGGTCCACCGTGGAAAGGCAAGACTCGTACCATAGCCGTCGATTTCCTTCCATTCTTGTAGTCGTCTGGCTATCCACAGAGGCGGCTAAACCTCGAGCTTTGCACCGAATTTGCGCCACCTTGGAAATTAGGCTCTTGTGATGTGTGTCATTGCCTGCATGCCTTCCTTCTTGCCCCATCAACATGGGACGCCATGCGCTGGCGCGGCCTGGTTGGTGTACGGTGCGTCACCCATGCCACATGGGGCATGGAAGGGTCATGAGTTGGTCTGTTTGCTGGCACGCGTGGAATCGCAGTGTGCTTCCATCCTCCATCGCCCGCATTTTCCTCTCGTTCGCCCTTCTCGAAACAGGCGCAGTTTTCTACTCCAAGAACTAGAGCTCCACATACCTGCCACTGTAACTTGAGCTCAGGCCTATCCTCGGTCTTTTCTCGTCACCAGCATGCTCTGGGGCACGTCTCGCGCTTTTCTTCTCCTCCCTCCATTTCGTTGATCACTCGAGGCTTGTCTTTCTTGACGTTCTTGAATCCTTACACCCATTCCCGTTCCTTCTTCGTGCAATCCACAACCTCCGTGCTCGACACATCGCAACTACACGAATATATTCCGCATCGTCGTCGCCATGCTGCTCGATTCAGCGACAGCGGCAGCGCTCCCCTCGTCAGCTACCTGCTCCACTTCCGCCGCTCTTCACTCCACGACACCATCCGCGGCTTTTCTCCGCGCGCCGCCTCCCGCCGCGCCAGCATCTTCATCACCTTCATGGATCCACCCGCGCATCCATCCCATGCATCCCCATCTGCGCTCTCTTCGCTCCACCACTCCGTTTCTCGATCCGATTAGTCGCCGCTGTCTGCGGGTAGCCGTGGATGTCGGCAGTTCTCGCCCGACGGGCGATCGTCCCGTGTCGCCGCGTCAGCATGACAGTGAGAGTGAATCCGACGCTTCTGGCAAGTCGGACGCGCCAGGTGGGCATCGAACGGCCGAGAAGGGTTCGGGGTCTACGGGATCTGAATCTGAATCAACGCGTGCCGAGGGTGTGCACGCTGCTGGGACGAACGGAAGCCGTCGATCTGTGGCCGCATCCAACGGATTGAGCAAGCACGTGGCGAACGAGGGACCGATGGAATCCTGGACTGCTACTAACGAGGATGAGCAGCGTGCGGCGGGTTCCAGCGACTGGGTTTCGCCAGCGAAGCCCAAGGAGCAAGACCGCTCCAACGGACTCGGAACAGGTTCGTCGGGAACATGCCTCAGCGACCGTTCGCGTGCTTCATTAGCTGTGTACCTGCCAGTTATTAGTCTGCAGATTTGCAAGGCCTAACAGAGGAACAATTTCTGTAGTGTGCTCAAGCCACGTCATGTTTTCTTTCGTCGTGTGATTTTCCCGTCACTTGATCCTGGATTTTGAGTTATGAAATATGTTTCGCGAGTTTGGCTAGGAGTTTTTTTGTCAGAGGAAGCGGAAAACGGCGTTGCGTGCCGCCGCCTTCCTCCTTTCTCTCCCTCTCTCTCGTTCGCTCCCTCTAACCACTCTCTTGCCTCTCCTGCTCTCCTCTCCTTCTCCCTCCTCTTCTCGCTTTCCGCGCCTCGCATTTCACCACATGTGTTTTTTTTTTTTCCTTCACGCGTTTCTCCTCTTTCCGATTCTGCTCTGGGCAGGCGTGACGGACCTAGCAGCGGGCTTCATCGTGTGTGTGGGAGTGGCAGCTATGGCCTTTATGGGGTTCAAACGCCAGGGTAAGTTCCTCTCTTCCCTCTTAGAAGTTCATTTTTTCTTCACTGTACTGTTATCACCGTCCACTGTGCAGTTCCAGTCCATTCCTTATCCTTCGGTTTGCCTCTCACCCTGAATAAACAATCTCATTCTTAGTTCTCTTGCCGTCTCTCTCCTCCACGGCCTCTCCCTCCACCTTCCTTCCCTGCATAACTCCTCACTCCGTTTTCCTTCTTCTCCCCTTAGCTCCGTTTCTCCACTAAACCCTTTTTACGCCTACCTGCTTTCGTCTCCTATCCCACAGCAGCTCGCCTTGCTCCATCCGTGCAGCATCAGCCTCCTGCCACCACTGTCGTCGTCACTACTGCTGTCACTGCGGCTGTAGCTACTCCAGTCGCTACCCCAGCTGTTAAACCTGCCACCGATTCACATGCGAAGCCAGCAGAAACAGGCAAGATTTCGCAAGTCCCTGCTGACGTGGCGCAGTCATCATCCACTGATTTGACCGCTGACGTGGACAGTGGTGTTGCTGCAGGTGCACCCACCCTCGCTGCACCTGCACCAGATACCACCTTTGTTAAGGCCAAGGACGCTCCTCCTGCTCCTCATCTACAGTCTGTCGATTCTGTAGTTGCTGATGTAGTGTCAGATACTGCATCTGTGCCTTCTGCTGGCAAGCCAGCCCTTGACCCAGAGGCTAAAACCCCTGGTGCGGCCGGCACCACTGCAGCGGCAGTGGATTCTGTGCCTGCTGCATCCAAACCAGCTGAAACGGCAGCACTGGTAGCAACACCGGCTGAAGCAACAGCAGCGCCAGCTTCGAATGAAGCAGCAGCAGCAGCAGCTCTTGAAGCTATGAAAGAAGAAGCTGCTGCTGTAGCCCCCACTCTGGGCGATGCAGTACGTGCGGCAGCGCCAGCTGCTTCAGTCGCGGATGCAGCTGCTCCAGTTGCACCAGCGCTGTCGCCCGCCACTGACACCACTCCAGCAGATGCTGCCAAGGAACCTCTCGTTCCTCTGCCTCTGCCTGTTCCCGTGCCCGTGCCTGTGCCTGTGACTGTGACTGAGAGTGCAGTACTAGTGGTGGAAGCGGCAGAACAAGGAGGCAGTGGCAGCAACAGCGCCAGCGTCAGCAGCAAGGAGGTGAGATTGTTAATCGAGGAGGGGAAGCATCAATGCAGAGGTGTGTTGCACTGGTTTAATCTTTGTGCTTCGGCAGTAACACATCATGTGAGTGTGTGGATATTTTTTCTCTTCACTGACGGGCTTGTCGTGTACCCTGACGTACCTGTGTGTTGCTTGCTCTTGTTGCCAGTCTGTTTCCAAACTTTGTTTGGCTTATTGTTATAAAGGTTTCGGGTTTAGGGTTCGGGTTTCGGGGTTTTGTGTACCGTGGTGCTTTGCCCATAAGTGTGGTGACAACCTCAGTTTAAACCATTGACATGCACGCTGTCATGCAGTGTACATCTCCCATCCTCCGTGCCCGCAGCCCCCTGGCATGGCATGACATGGCATGGCATGACATGGCATCCTGCGCATGGCACACAAAGCAGGCTGATCTTTTTTCCTTGTTTTGGGAAACTTGATGGGTGCAGGTGCAGAGGGGAAGCGCGAGTGAAACAAGGGTTGAGTCGGTGGATGCGAGGGAGACAGCTTTGGATGAACCTGCTGCTGTTGGTGTCTTTTTAGCTTCCGATGAGATTTCTTCTGCTGCTGCTACTGGTGCTGCTCCTGCAGCTGCTGCTGCTGCTGATGGTGGTGGTCTCGCCGCTGCTGATGCGAGCACTCAAACCCCTGTGCTTGCGGCACACGCAGCACTCGAGTCTCCTGTCAATGCAGACAGTCCCAGTCTAGAGGAGCAAAAAGAGTCTATCGCATTCGATGTAGCCTCTTCTGTTGCCGCCGCTGCAGCTCCTGCTGATGCAGCAGCTGCAGCTGTCGACGCCATTGCTGCAATTGCAGATGCCAGTGCTGCTGCTGCCACCGCCCCCGCTCTGTCTCTCCCGGCGAAGCATCATGACTCTCAAGTGCTTACCACGAAGGATCTCCTCCCCTCGCACGCATCTCCAGTGGCCTCTGAAGCTGTCTCTTCCCTTACTTCACCGGATTCCGCCCATGCTTCTGCTGTGCACGCTGCTGCAGCAGATAAGCCTGCTGTGGCAGCCGAATATGCAGAAGCAGAGTCTTCTAAGCTGGGTGAGTCTGATCCCTTGCCGCTCGCAGGCACAGCAGCTTTAGAAGCAACGGTGGTTCCGGCAGCGGCAGCAGGGAAAGTAGCAGCGCTTGAGGCAGCCGTGGGGGGAGCAACCGCAGGTGAAGCAGCATTGACAGAAGCACTGCCAGCAATGCAAGCTGCAACGCCAGAGGCAGCGCCAGCAGCAGTGGCACCTGTGCCAGCAGAAGCGCCAGCAGCAGCAGCGCCATCAGTAACAGCAGTGGTAGCGGAGATGGAAGAGGCGGAGGCGGTGGAGAAGCTGTCTCCGTTTGAAGACGCTGTGGAGCAATTCGAGGCGGCTGAGGAGGAGGAGGGACTTGAGGCACCAGTGCTGGCAGCAGCAGTTGCTCCAGATACGAGTGCCGCAGCAGCACCAGCACCAGCAGCAGAAGCAGCACCAGCAGCACCAGCAGCACCAGCAGAAGCAGCGGCGGCAGCGCCAGCAGCAGCAGCAGCAGCAGCAGTAGCAGCCCCATCGGAGGTAGCAGGTGGTGTCACTGAAACTGTGCCTGCATCTTCAGCAGTGACGGTTATATCTGGTGAAGTGAAGGGGGAGGAGAGGGAGAAGGAGGGATCTTCAAGGCAAGAAGGAGGAGGCAGCGGTGGAGTAGCAGTGAGTGCGGTGATGGGCGGTGTGAAGGAGTGGTGGGAGAGGGTTGCAGCGAGTGCGTTTGTGCCTGCGCCTGTGAGCGCCGTCTCTTCTAAGCTAGCCGGTGTGGCAAAGAGCGTGGGCGGAACCAGTGGGGTTCAGAACAACCAGCAGCAGTGGAAGCAGCAGCAGCAGGAGGAGGTGCAGGTGCAGCAGCAGGGGAGAGCGGCAGGGCAGAGGGTGGTGGTGAGAGCAGCAGCGGACGCAGGGCAGCAGCAGGCCGTGCAGGATCTGCAGTTGCTGGGGGTAAGTGGGAGATGGAATGGGGAGGGGTTGGGACAAGGGTGAGGTGAGGGAGAAGCCTAGGGATGGTGTTGACAAGAGCTAAGTTAAGAAAGGGGGGATGCAGCAATGAATGGTTCTCTTGTGCATCACTGCCTAGTCTTGACGGATCTCTTTGCAAGCCTCAACGTGCCATTAGCACCACCTCTTGTTCCCCCTCTCATCCATACTCGCTGCATCCCGCCCCGTGTGTCCACGTGTCACCAGGTGATTGAAGGCCACGTGGACGCCTCTAGCATCTGCAGTCGCAGGGAGTTCGCACGATGGCTCGTGCATGCCTCCAACGCTCTTGCCAGGTACCGCTCTGCACCGTGCATACTTCCCAAGGCCTTTTTAGGCACCTCGAAAGTCCTCATAAGGTGTTGAGGCGCCTCAGAAGCGGTGCATACCTCCAACTCTCGTTTCCTGGTACCTTTCTTCCAGAGATTTTACGGTTCGATCCATCAATATGCTTTTTGTTCACTCGGCCACGCCTGGAATGCTCTTGCGAGATGCCTTGGAGGCTCCAGGGCTCTTGAGTCGAGCCCGCTGATCCCTGCCGCTTGTCCTGTGCTCACGCTCACCAAGGGGTCGTCTAACATTTGTGCTTCTATCTCTGCCTTTTGATCCAATTCATGGCCTCTCCACTCACCCCCATTCCCCACAGTGACTCAGGCCAGCCATGCACATGTTAGGTTTCTGTGAACCATCTCTCTTCCGTCCTTCTTCTTGCCCCCTCCTATCCCGTCCACTCTCCTCTCCCCTCCACCCCCCCCCCCGCAGTGACCCAGCGCACAGGGTGCAGCCTGCCATGTACATAGACGGCCTGTCCACGCCTGCCTCTGTTTGAGGATTCTTACAGACTATCTTTTTCGAACCCCCCCTTGTTCCCATCCCCTCCCTCCCGCAGTGACCCAGCGCACAGGGTGCAGCCTGCCATGTACATAGACGGCCTTTCCACGCCTGCCTCTGTTTGAGGATTCTTACAGACTATCTTTTTCGAACCCCCCCTTGTTCCCATCCCCTCCCTCCCGCAGTGACCCAGCGCACAGGGTGCAGCCTGCCATGTACATAGACGGCCTTTCCACGCCTGCCTTTGATGACGTGGGACCTCTAGACCCAGACTATGCGGCCATACAAGGTGCGGAATACGTGTTTGCTCATCACGTTGTGAGCTTTGAGAAGACTCAAAGGCCGCCCGCCTTTGATGATGTGAGGCCTCTGAACCCCGACTATGCCGCCATACAAGGTGCGCTATGTGTTGGTTGGTCAATAATGAGCTGGCGTGCACGCTCTTTCTATAACCACGAGGTGCAAGGCGTTGACAATGCCACCTTCGCTCAACCTTCGCACAACCACATTTCACAGTCAAGTTGCATCTGTCGTCGAGTAATGAGGCGTTAGGTAGTTCTGTGCTTTACAAGGGGAAGGAGGGAATGGAAAGACAATATGGAACGCAGCAGCTGGAGGAGCTACGCCGAAGGAACAATGGTTTGGCAGAATACGCAAAAACAGATGAAGTACTGTAAAGCCCTCCAAAGCTCTATCTTGTCATCGTACCATATCGTCTCACCATTGTACTGTCGAGAGTTCCTCTTCCCGCACTCATTCTCCCTGTGTCACTCTGATCTCTCTTTCCCCCATCACCTTCCATGGCCCCTCCCTTTCCACTCTCACCCGTATCTTCTCCGCCTTTTTCTGCCCACTCATTCATTCTTCCACTCTTCACCTCCCTCCTTGGTTACTCCCTCTCACTCCATCCTCATCCCTTTCATCCTCCCCTCCACCCTCCTCTCAGTCCCGTCCATGCAGGTCTAGCTGAGGCAGGGCTCATCTCCAGCAAGCTATCCTTCATGGACCTGGGCTGCCCCGGCAATGCCTTTCCATGTCTCTTCCCTCTCAACCCTTCCTCTTCCCTACTCTGCCTCGTGCCCCCGTCCATGCAGGTCTAGCTGAGGCGGGGCTGATATCCAGCAAGCTATCCTTCACAGACCTGGGCTGCCCCCGCACTGCCACCACCACCACCACCACCACCACCACCACCACCACCACCACCGCTCAGTCGTCCGACTCTTCTCAGTCTGCGTTCCGAGCTCGCCCAGGGTGCAACAGCGGCAGCGGCGCTCTCTTCCACCCAGACAGGTGAGCCACGGTGCAGCACAGCACAGCACAGGACAGGAGCTCGCTGGTCATGGGACAGCGATTCTCTCGAGAATTCTGAAGCACCACCGGACTGGACTGGACTGGACTGGACTGGACTTGGCTGGAATGGACTGGACTGACTGGACTGGACTGACTGGACTGGACTGACTGGACCCACCGGTTGCAATGCTCAACCTCTCTCAGTCCTGCTGCTCGGGCCGTCTTATGATCCCTGCTGCTGCCCCTGCTGCCAACTCCACTCCCTCTTGTGAGCGCTTTCTGAGAATAGCCCAAGGGGCGCTGCCAGCCTGCCAGCCTGCCAGCCTCACTCCTCCACCTCATCTCACCTTCTCCCCTTTTCACCGTTCACGCCTCCAACTCATCTCCCCTTCCCTCCCTTGCCACTATTCCCTCGCACCGTCGCACAGCCCGTTGACGCGCCAGGACCTGGTGTCATGGAAGGCAGCTCTGGACTCGGTTGTGCAGCCACACGACGTCTCCATGCTCGCCCAGCTCTCCTCTCAGGTGGGTGGGTGGGCAGACGGGTGTCTTGCGTGGGTGGGGAGGGTGGGGTGGCTGGTTGGGTGGGTGGGTGGGTGAATGGGTTAGCGTACGGTGCACTAAACTCCTATGAGGGTCACAGAATGAAGGCAGCAATGCGCATGATGGAAAACCAAAAGAGGGCCCTTGAACTCTTCTATGCATCGAGGTGGTTTTTGAGGCGCCTCAAAAACCACCTCCTTGAACGCTTCTATGCATCGTACCATTGGTGTTTTGCTTCACACTGTCCCCTTCCCCTTCCCCTTCCCCTTCCCCTTCCCCTTCCCCTTCCCCTTCCCCTTCCCCTTCCCCCCCCCTCCCCCCTGTCTTCCCCACTCACCTTCCCTTTACTGCAACTAAACTCGGAGCCGTTCTTTCATCTCATTACCACATTTTCACCTCTCCTTCTGACCTTTCCCTATCACCAGCCGCCGCCATTCATAGACATGGATAGAATCGACCCTGACGCCCTCCCGGCCGTTCTGCTAGACGCAGCAAAGCGAGACACCACCACCAGCTCCAGCAAAACCAGCAGCAACACCAGCGGCAGCAGCAGCAGCAGCGGTGGTGGTGGTGGTGGTGGAATAGTGACGACAGCCTTTGGGTTCACGCGCCGATTCGACCCACAGAAGCCCGTGACACGCGGCCAGGCTGCCATCGCGCTGGCTGCTGCAGGCGAGGGGCGGGAGCTAGTGAGAGAAGCCGTGGGGAGAGCGAGAGCAGAGAGAGCTGCTGCTGCTGCGCTTGAAGCAGCACAGGAGGAGGCGGAGAGGAGGCAGAGGGAGGCCGTGCGGGAGATGGTGGAGAGGGATGAGATGGTGGGGGAGGAGAGGCGGGTGAGGGAGGCGGTGGAGGAGGCAGGAGAGGTGCTGCGGGTTTCTGCAGAGAGGGTTGAGGAGGAGTTGGAGCAGGAGAAGGTGAGAACATGGAGGAGGAGGGGGGGAGGAGGAGGGGGGGGGGGGGGGGGGGGAGGCGTTGCGTTGTATGGGAAGGGAGGGTGCCAAGGGGTTTTGGGGGAGGTGGAGGTATCTTATGTTCTGACTTTTGAGTGGACTCAAAAGTCCCTTGCAGAGGGGGTCAGGGGGTCAGGGTTTAGGGGAAGGTTTCTTATGTTGTCTTTCAGTCTTGCATCCCATCTCCTCCGCTTTGCCTCTCCATTATACCGCCCACTGTCCTTCCACCACTCTCCCTGCCTTTCTTCCCCTCCCCTCAAATCCCAAATCCCCTCCACCCAGGCGTCCGTCCTTCAGTTGAAGTCCTCAGTGCAGGGTTTTTTAGGCACCTCAAAAGGCGATTTTTGAGGCGCCTCGAAAATTCCCCTCCCCTCAAATCCCAAATCTCAAATCCCAAATCTCAAATCTCATATCTCAAATCCCAAATCCCAAATCCCAAATCCCAAATCCCAAATCCTCTCCACCCAGGCGTCCGTCCTTCAGTTGAAGTCCTCACTGCAGGAGCAGCAGCAGCAGGCGGAGAGGGAGAGGCAGCAGCAGCAGCAGGCAGCAGCATCAGAGCAGGAGCGCGTGCAAAACGAGATGCAGGCAGTGCGGCAGCAGTGGGAGGAGGTGCAGCGCATGCTGGGACAGGCAGAGGAGGCAGCGCAGCGAGCGAGGGAGAGGGAGAGGGAGGTGCAAGGGGAGAAGGAGGCTCTACAGAAGGCGAGGTGAGTGAGACTGTCCTTGGAGAGAGTAGTGGGACAGGAGGGAGACTACCTGTAGGTGAGACTCTTTATGGGGAGACACTCTATCACAGGGATAGGTGAGACTAGTGGGATGGAGTGGAGGGAGGGAGATCGTGGATGAGTGGAGGAGGGGATGGAAAGTGAGTGGGGAGGTACAAGGGGAGGGGAGGGGGGAGAGAAGGGGGAGGAGAGCGAGTGGAGGTAGAGGGCGCGAGAAGGAAGAGGGCGAGAGAAGGAAGGGGGCGAGAGAAGGAAGGGGGCGAGAGAAGGAAGGGGGCGAGAGAAGGAAGGGGGCGAGAGAAGGAAGGGGGCGAGAGAAGGAAGGGGGCGAGAGAAGGAAGGGGGCGAGAGAAGGAAGGGGGCGAGAGAAGGAAGGGGGCGAGAGAAGGAAGGGGGCGAGAGAAGGAAGGGGGCGAGAGAAGGAAGGGGGCGAGAGAAGGAAGGGGGCGAGAGAAGGAAGGGGGCGAGAGAAGGAAGGGGGCAAGAGAAGGAAGGGGGCGAGAGAAGGAAGGGGGCGAGAGAAGGAAGGGGGCGAGAGAAGGAAGGGGGCGAGAGAAGGAAGAGGGCGAGAGAAGGAAGGGGGCGAGAGAAGGAAGGGGGCGAGAGAAGGAAGGGGGCGAGAGAAGGAAGGGGGCGAGAGAAGGAAGGGGGCGAGAGAAGGAAGGGGGCGAGAGAAGGAAGGGGGCGAGAGAAGGAAGGGGGCAAGAGAAGGAAGGGGGCGAGAGAAGGAAGGGGGCGAGAGAAGGAAGGGGGCGAGAGAAGGAAGAGGGCGAGAGAAGGAAGAGGGCGAGAGAAGGAAGGGGGCGAGAGAAGGAAGGGGGCGAGAGAAGGAAGGGGGCGAGAGAAGGAAGGGGGCGAGAGAAGGAAGGGGGCGAGAGAAGGAAGGGGGCGAGAGAAGGAAGGGGGCGAGAGAAGGAAGGGGGCGAGAGAAGGAAGAGGGCGAGAGAAGGAAGAGGGCGAGAGAAGGAAGGGGGCGAGAGAAGGAAGGGGGCGAGAGAAGGAAGGGGGCGAGAGATGGAAGGGGCCGAGAGAAGCAAGGGGGCGAGAGAAGGAAGGGGGCGAGAGAAGGAAGGGGGCGAGAGAAGGAAGGGGGCGAGAGAAGGAAGAGGGCGAGAGAAGGAAGGGGGCGAGAGAAGGAAGAGGGCGAGAGAAGGAAGGGGGCGAGAGAAGGAAGAGGGCGAGAGAAGGAAGGGGGCGAGAGAAGGAAGGGGGCGAGAGAAGGAAGGGGGCGAGAGAAGGAAGGGGGCGAGAGAAGGAAGGGGGCGAGAGAAGGAAGAGGGCGAGAGAAGGAAGGGGGCGAGAGAAGGAAGGGGGCGAGAGAAGGAAGAGGGCGAGAGAAGGAAGAGGGCGAGAGAAGGAAGGGGGCGAGAGAAGGAAGAGGGCGAGAGAAGGAAGGGGGCGAGAGAAGGAAGGGGGCGAGAGAAGGAAGGGGGCGAGAGAAGGAAGGGGGCGAGAGAAGGAAGGGGGCGAGAGAAGGAAGGGGGCGAGAGAAGGAAGGGGGCGAGAGAAGGAAGGGGGCGAGAGAAGGAAGAGGGCGAGAGAAGGAAGGGGGCGAGAGAAGGAAGAGGGCGAGAGAAGGAAGGGGGCGAGAGAAGGAAGAGGGCGAGAGAAGGAAGGGGGCGAGAGAAGGAAGAGGGCGAGAGAAGGAAGGGGGCGAGAGAAGGAAGAGGGCGAGAGAAGGAAGGGGGCGAGAGAAGGAAGAGGGCGAGAGAAGGAAGGGGGCGAGAGAAGGAAGAGGGCGAGAGAAGGAAGGGGGCGAGAGAAGGAAGAGGGCGAGAGAAGGAAGGGGGCGAGAGAAGGAAGAGGGCGAGAGAAGGAAGGGGGCGAGAGAAGGAAGAGGGCGAGAGAAGGAAGGGGGCGAGAGAAGGAAGAGGGCGAGAGAAGGAAGGGGGCGAGAGAAGGAAGAGGGCGAGAGAAGGAGATGTTTCTTGTCTTGTCGTACGGTCGGTTGGCCTTCACAGATTTGTGGCACCCAAGTCATGCGCTCTCTATATCAAGGTCGCTTCAAGCCTCTTCCACCTTCCCTCTTGCAATCAAGCCTCTTCCAGTTTCTAGTTTCTTTGCTGCTCAAGTCTTCAAGCCTTTCGCATCCTTTTCTCTTTCGGCTTACCACCCCCTTTGTTGAAATGAAATGAGATGGGCACGTCACTCCTCTTGTCCTGATGGGCACTGCGATTGTCCCTCGACGTCCTCCCTTCATCGAGTTTGTTGCTATGATTGTAACCCAATCACTCTTCTAACTCGGTTTGTCCTAATTACTCGATAACGTGTTCTTCCTCTTCCGTATCTCTCGGGCGCCCACACTTGCTTTCGAATCCCCAGGGTTGAGGCGGAGGCAGAGCTTGTGGTGGTGAGGGCGGCAAGTGAGCAGGTGCAGCAGGCATGGCGGGAGGTGGCAGAGAGGGAGAGGGAGGTGCAGGAGAGGGAGAAGCAGCATCTGCTGCAGGTGAAGATGAGAGATGAGCAGCAGCAGCAGCAGCAGCAGCAGCAGCAGCAGCAGCAGCAGCAGCAGGAGGAGGAGGAGGAGGAGGAGGAGGAGGAGGAGGGGAGGGAGGGCCAGAGAGTGAGTCCAGAAGGAGCAGGGGCAGCAGGAGTCTCCACCACAGCAGCTGATGCTGATGCCAATGCCAGCTCTGCTGATTCCCCCAGTGGCCTCTCCTCTTTCATCAACCGCATCATCTCCTTCTCACCCTTCTCCCACGCCCACCCTCCACTCGACCCCACTCCTGCCTCTGTGCCCCCGCCTGTTGCCGTGGACCCTAGCGAGTGGGGCGTGAAGGTTGCAGCTGAAGCAGCACACCGCAGCACAGCCCCTGCTGCTACTGCTGGTTCGGCCACTGCTTCTGCCAATGCAACAACTGCCGAGGGTACTCGTGAGAGGCGTGGTGATGGCAGGGATTCTGAGCGGTCGGATGAGCGGGATACTGCGGGGACGGCAGCATGGGGAGGGTTGAAGGAGAGAGGTGTGGATCCAGAGGCTTGGAAGGCTCGTGCTTCGGAGTTGGTTCAGCCTGTGGGGGAGAGAATGCGTGAGGCTGTGAGGGTTGCTGAGAAGGGTTGGGAGACGATGGGGGAGAGGGTGGAAGGGTTGAAAAAGGAGGTGGGGTTGGCTCGTATGCAGGTGGAGGTTGGTAGGGCTGCGGACGAGGCAGTGGCGAGAGGGAGGGGAATGGTTGAGGAGGGGCGGAGAGCGGTTGAGGAAGGGGTGAAAGCAGTGGGAGGTGCAGGGGTAGTGGTGAGGGAGAGGGTTGGGGAAATGGTGGAAAAGAGTGGGAATAGATTGAGTGAGGTGGTGCAGAGTGGAGGGAAGAAAGTGGAGGAGATAAAGGAGAAGGTGGGTGGTGCTGTGGTGGAGGCATGGAGCAAGATGGCAGATGGTGGGGAGGAGGGTGATGCTAGGGGGAAGAGTGGGAGTGCGAGTTAGAACAATCTAAGCCTGGCTTGTAGCGGGGCATTCTGGAAGACGTTTGTTACATCGAGAGGTTTTCTTAGCAGGAATTTTTGGGTGATGTGCTGTGTACGCGTGGTTGATGAATAAAAGAGAGCAGAATCAACAACAATCTTTTTGTGACAACATTGAGTTCATACGGTTTTCTTTATTTTTCATATTGACTTCCATACTGGAACTGCTCCTAAAGAAGTTACGGTAATGCGGCCGCTGCCAAACCAGTTGACAATGAGTTGTTTCAAGAGCACGATGAGTTGAGAACTGTTACGGATAGTAGTTGTTGAAACATTACTGTGCACTCCTTACCGCAACAAGCGAAGCACGTACTATCAAGACAGAAGGTGAAAGGGTGGAAATGACGCGAAGGGTCACACGGCATCTGGACCGACGGGCAGACGGCATCAGGCAGCAACAGTGGCGAGGATTCTGCTCGGAGTCGCACGGTTGGATTTCGCTGTAATAAGGGAATGTACCCCTTAGAGTACATGGCTAGCTAGGTCGATTCGAATTCCCTTGTACACTTATTTATATTCCTTGTACTGCATGTTTTTAATTATCTCAAACATTTACATTCACTCTGCTATTGAGGTCAAGGGCCCACCACCACTAGACTAGCAGTATACGAACCTTCCTGAGGTGATTCTGGTTACGATCTCTTTCTGATCGCAGCATGGTATGAGAGCGACTCGGGAATCCTTTGCATTGCCACTTCCGAAACTCTCGGTGAACGAAAAGTGGCGTCCGGCACACGCTCTCGTGTGAGAATGGCCGGAGGATCTGGAGCTCAGACGAATCTGACGGCTGAAGCGCAGCCCAACCCAGCTGCGACAAGCGAGGAAACGACGACAATCCCTTCCGCCGTCCTCGCACAACTGCTTCAGCGACTCACGAGCTTGGAGCAAGGGCTCCAAACATTGCGGAATGGCGACGCGGGAACATCTTTCCAACCTACTCAACCGGCCTTGAATGGCCAGAATTCCGCACCTTCTCTCTCAACACAAATGGCTCAACACCCAAGACTCCCTGTCCCAGCGATGAAGCAATTCTCTCTGCGCAATCAAGGTTTTTTAGCATATAAAAAATAAAGACAAGTGTGTGCTTTGACGGCAGAGACTTCTATACCTGGAGCTTCGAGCTGGAGCTGCTGCTACAAAACGGGCAGATTTATCACTATTTCGAGGGGAGCTACTCGGGAACTGCGGAAGAGACTGACGATGCAAAAACCAAGTACTACAACAAGTCCCTGATGGCGTACAAGGTTCTTCTGCGAAACATGTCGCCGACGGAGCAGTTGAGCATTCGCTCATACAAAACCTCCCTTGCTCCAGCCCTTCACGCTTGGCGCCACCTGAACGGTGTGTATCAACCAAAGGACTCAGAGTCGTTGAGCCACCTACTCCAGCAGCTACTAGAGACGAAGATGGAACCACGAGAGAAGGCCAACAGTTACCTGAATCCCTGTCGGAGCTTACGCGATCAAATCGCGAAACTGGGGAGCACAATCTCTGAGGAGATATTCGTCAACATTATGCTCCAAGGGCTCGGCCCAGAGTGGCGGCCCCGCAAGGCGCTTCTCCGACAGCAGGGGGTCATCTCGGAGGCCGCCCTTTGCGCCGCCCTTCTCGTCGAACAAAGGGATATGGATCAGCAGCGACCTGTGCCGCGACGAGACAAGGAGCGCCTCGCCTTCTACGCCGAAAACACAGAAGAGCGACAGCCGCGGCGCCTCTACTGCAAAATTTGCAGAAACTTCGGACAACTGGCAGCTTGGTGCAAGTCCCGATCTCACCCTCGCCAAACCAATCCGAGCAACTGGTCCGGCCGACAAGACGCGAGGAACGACACACGTCCCGCCCAGTGTCAAACTTATATCTTATAGCTTGTCTAGGCTATAGTGGGGTAGACACTATGGGGTACAGTTTCCTAGGGTCCTACTTGTACCCAATCTTGTGCTAGTTCATTCATTCCTCATTCTTTCACATGGTATAGAGAAGGTTCCCTAGTGGGAACGCTTCTTTGGGCCCACCACTGAAATTTTCTTTCTGACCGGAGCGCCAGTCGCTTCTGCCCGAGGCGCGCCTTGTGGGCCGCCCTTCCGTCGAGGTCCCTTAGAGGCCCCTCCCACGGCCCCCCGTGCCGCCCCTCGCGGCCCCATCGCCGCCTCTAGCAGCCCCGTCGCCGCCCCTAACGGCCCCGTCGCCGCCTCCCTACCTACGCGGCCCCGTCGCTGCCCCTAGCGGCCCCGTCGCCGCCCCTACGCAGCCCCGTCGCCGCCTCTAGCGGCCCCGTCGCCGCCCCTAACGGCCCCATCGCCGCCTCCCTACCTACGGGGCCCCGTCGCCGCCCCTAGCGGCCCCGTCGCCGCCCCTATGCGGCCCCGTCGCCGCCCCTAGCGGCCCCGTCGCCGCCTCCCTACCTACGCGGCCCTATCACCGCCCCTACGCGGCCTTGTCGCCCCCCTACGCGGCCCCGTCGCCGCCCCTAGCGGCCCCATCGCCGCCCTCAGCGGCCCCGACGCCACCTCCCTACCTACGTGGCCTCGTCGTCGCCTCCCTACCTACGCGGCCCCGTCGCCGCCCCTAGCGGCCTCGTGGCCGCTCCCCTCCCTACGCGGCCCCGTCGCCGCCCCTAACGGCCCCTTCGCCGCCGAGCCGCCTAGTAGCTGAGCCGCACGACAGCCGAGCCGCCGAGCCGCCCAGCAGCCGACCCGCCGAGCAGCCGAGCCGCCCAGCCACCGAGCCGCCAAGCCGCCCGACAGCCGAGCCGCCCGCTGGAGGTGCTGGCGGTACTAGAGCTGCTGTTCCTACTAGAGTTGGTGCTGCTGGAGCTACTTGAGCTGCTAGAGCTGGAGCTGCTGGGGGTGTTGACGCTAGTGTTTCTGCTGGCGCTGGTTCGTCCGAGGGTGCTGGAGCTGGCGCTATTGGAGCTGGAGAAGCAGCTGGCGCTGGTGCTGCCGCTAGGGATACTGGTGCTGTCCCTGCTGGTTCAGGAGGCGCTACGCGGCCGCGGCCGTACTTCGTTCCGCTCCTTGAGCAGGTTCTTGGTCTCACGCCCTCTACTGGTCCTGCTCCTCCCTTAGAGTGTCTAGAGCCTGTCCAGTCGCAGTCACAGTTCCAGCCCGCCTCCCCCTGCGTGCTCCTTCTCCCTACACAGGTCCTACTGGAGGTCTTGCTGAGCATCGTGAGCCTGCGTCTCGTCCTGCGTCGCCTGTTCGTACTGCTCGCACTAGTCGTCGTGCTTCGCGTCCGCGTCCTCCTGCGGTCCCACGCACACACCAGATGACACTGCGTCCTTCCACTGCTCCTCTGCGTGTCCCGTTGGCGTCTCCTCCAGAGTCCTCTCTTCATTGTCTTACTGTCCCGGAGTCTGACTCTCTTCGTGCTGTCAGTCCTACTGTCACGCGTCTCTTGGCTACTGTTGTCACTCACCCTTCCTTTGAGTCCACTGCTGCGTCTACCCTAGTTGCTGAGCTTGTCGACTTTGGCGCTCGCTGTCGTCTAGACTACGCCGCTAGTCTTGTTGCTGAGTCTGAGTCTGTCTGTCCTCCGTTCGTCGGGAGTGAGTGTGCCCTTGGCACGGACGTCCTTGAGGACAGGTAGGAGGAGTTCCAGTGTTTTGCTGCTGCTTTGCCTCATCTCGTGTCCGCGCTGATTGCCTCTGAGGGAGACCCGGATGCACCAGACATCCCGACTCCTCGATCGTACGCTGAGGCGATCGAGGGTCCCTACTCCTCTCAGTGGGAGTCAGCCATGGACGCAGAGATGACTTCCTGAAAGTCCACAGGCACCTACGTCGACGAGGTTCCCCGACCTAGGGCGAACATCGTCAGTGGCATGTGGATTTTCAGGGTGAAGCGGCCGCCGGGTTCTCCGCTTGTCTTCAAGGCGCGTTACGTGGCTCGAGGCTTCAGTCAGCGGCAGGGAGTTGACTACTTTCAGACCTTCTTTCCCACCCCGAAGATGACCACTCTTCGGGTGCTGCTGCACGTCGCTGCTCAGCGTGACTACGAGCTTCACTCTCTTGACTTCAGCACAGCTTTCATGCAGGGCAGCTTGCACGAGGAGATCTGGCTGCGCCGCCCACCTGGCTTCACTGTGTCGTTTCCTCCTGGTGCCCACTAGAGCCTCCGGCGGCTAGTCTACGGTCTCCCCCAGGCGCCCCGTGAGTGGCACGACACACTGAGGACTACACTTGCGGCTCTTGGGTTTGCTCCTTCTACAACCGACCCGTCACTGTTTCTGCGCACCGACACCTCTTTGCCGCCGTTCTACATCCTCGTGTACGTGGACGACTTGGTCTTTGCCACTGCTGATACTGCTGGACTCGCCCACGTGAAGTCCGAGCTGCAGAAGAGACACACGTGCACAGACCTGGGTGAACTGCGCAACTACCTTGGCTTGCAAATCACCCGGGACAGAGCACAGCGCACCATTACCCTGACTCAGTCACACATGGTGCAACAGGTCCTTCAGCACTTCGACTTCACGTACTCCTCGCCTCAGGCCACTCCTCTGTCTACTCGCCACTCGCTCTTAGCTCTGCCTTCGGATGAGTCCGTAGAGCCGAGTGGCCCGTATCCTGAGCTTGTTGGCTGCCTCATGTACTTGATGACCTGCACACGACCTGACCTTGCATACCCTCTTAGCATCTTGGCACGCTATGTTGCTCCTGGGAGACACCAACCAGAGCACATGGCTGCATCGAAGAGGGTGTTGCGCTACTTGTGCAGTACGTCGGGCATGGGACTAGTGCTTGGAGGGCGACGTCGAGTGGTCCTCACAGGTCACGCAGACGCTTCTTGGGCTGACGACCAGGCTACGCAGCGGTCGCCACATGGTTACACCTTCAGTCTTGGCTCCGTCTCTGTTTCGTGGTGGTCTACTCGCTCGTCTTCTGTTCTCGGCTCCAGCTGTGAGGTTGAGATCTACGCAGGGGCCATGGCTGCGCAGGAGCTACGGTGGCTGACCTACCTGTTG